ACGACCCCCCACTTGGAGGCATATTTTTCAGGGCCAAAAAATCGTCTTATACGCCGGCAAATACGGTAACATGTCCCAGAGGCACACAAGAACATTTGGGGGAGAGCTAAAAATAAAAGCCCCAGATGGGCAAAGAACTCTGTTTTTCATTATAAGCCTTTTAGCTCTTAATGTTTTTTAAATCATGGGCGTATAGAACTTTAATGAAAAATCGTTTTCTTATACTAATTATATGACTTCACGCTAAATCTCATCTTCTCACTGGCTCTAATCAGCATTTCATTTGAGGGACATTCCAACCTCCCTTGCTGTGTAATCTCAGCTCCCCAGGCCACACCAGCCTGGGGTAAAAGTTCCCTCAGATGGTTTTCAATGATGAAAGCTGCTATATCCAGCAAGACCAAGAAAACACAGACAGGAAAAAGAGGGTCCTCATGCCCCACCCCTGCTCCCTCACCACGGCACGTTTCTGCAGAAGCAGACTGTCTGTCCTAAGTCCAGTCTGCAGAGGCCGTACTACTGCCTGGTCCCTTTGGGATGGCTCCCCGAGTGCCTGGGGTTTCTCCACTCACAAGACCAGGGGTCCTCTTTGTTTGTCTCCTTAAAGTCAATCGTGAATATTTTCTAAGCGTCACATGCTTATGCCTTTATCTTGAGAAGCGTTGGTTTACTAGAAATAGAAACAGCAGCCAAGATATTTAAGTCACACACACACAAATACAGTGACCTCATCTGGGCTTCTGACGTTAAATCCATCACGCATGGTAACAGGTATTGTGGAAACAGGGACGGGGTTTACAAAGCTGTGTTATCAGCACAGAGAGCACAGAAAGGCTGCTGTTGGGGTTTTCCCCAACTGCTGTCCCTCCAACTTTCCTCAGCTCAGATCAGTCAGATACGTACGTGTATTAGCTGCATGATTGTACTGTTACCAGAAACAAGATGGGAGCTAGCGGGACAACTGGGCAGGGAGGCCAGGATCATTTCCATCCTTAGTGGCATTCAGCGAGGTCATCTCCTTCCTCAGACCCCCTTTTGGAGGTTGCTTCCAAAAGAAAGCTTTCAAACATGGCAACATCCTCATAGCCACATACTGACACATTAACCAAAGCTATCCCCTAGTCTAGAAAAGGACAGACCCTACATGTAGCTCACATGCCAACCACTGATCCAGAACTTTCAAAATTTCACCTTTCCCCAAACATCTGCACCATTCTTTAAACACAGATTGCCAGCAGGTGGCCTGCAGACCAAACCGAAACCGCAAATATGATTGGCTTGGCTGCCGAAGGGATTTTAAAAAAAATTTTATTGGGGAACAGTGTGCTTTTTCCAGGACCCATCAGCTCCAAGTCAAGTCATTGTCCTTCTATCTAGTTGTGGAAGGCCAGTCGCCATTTTCAATCTAGTTGCGGGGTGGGGGGGGCACAGCCCACCATCCCATGCGGGAATTGAACCGGCAATCTTGTTAAGAGCACGTGCTCTAACCAACTGAGCCATCCGGTCGCCCTAGAAGTGATTTAAAAAAAAATTGATTTAGTTACTAATATACTGGGAGATTTCAAACAAATATCTGGATTGACTGAAAAAATTTAGAGAATCTGTTCCCACACAGCAACACCCAGCTGGAGCTAACAGGTGCCCTCTTTGGAACGTGTGTGTGCTCCCCACCATAGCATCACGTCCTGCCTGTGTCACTCGTGTATATTATCTGCCTGCCACTGATATCTGCTTTCCTTGCTATTAAACACCCCTCTGCAGGCTCCATGACCACGAATACAGCAGGGCTCCTGTGCTGTAGCTGGAGGGAATCCCTGCATTCTAGGACAGGGGTGTACAAAATCGGAGATGAGACAAATAAAGGAGAAAGGGTTTGCTCATAAACTCTGTAGCTCCATGAGAACAGAAAAGAACTGCTTCTGAAATTCTCTGTAAGTTAGATAACCATCATGCTCTTTGCAGCCACAGGAATCTTCCAGATAGATCAAAAACTTTTATTGTTGGATGAAAATAGTTCTCGCTCATAAATTATGTGCTGTAGTTCTCTTTTTCCGATTATTGACCCAATCTGCCTGGTCCTGGGCACTCTTCCTCCCTGGCAAGGAGACCCCGAAGCAGGGAAGCGGCCCACAGGCTTTTCCAGAGTGTGGCCCAAGTATCAGGAAATAGACTGTAGTCTCCAGTATAAGCCCTGGAGCAGCTGGGTCTCTCCAACTTATCACACCCAGCTCTTCTGGAGTCTGTCCTGAGGGAGAAGTTAGCAGAGTCCACTCAACAAAGTGAGAAATTCGGGAGCCACACTGCCCAACAGGCTTCACTGTGCTCCCAGGCGCCCAGCTTCCTGGTCCCCGTTTTGATCCTGACTCGGCATCTTTAAGCCCAGACGGCTCAGGGAGTGTACAAAGTAGCGAGGAAGCTTGCAAACCAAGCTGAGCTCCTCTCTCCTGGACCCCAGGGCAGGCAGGATCAGCTGGCGGGCATGCAGATGAAGGGGGATGTGGCGAGCCTTCGACTGTGGCAGCCCCAGTTTCTTTAGGGTGCCAACAGACAGCTTCTGTACAAAGAAAAGAAGGCCTCTTGAGAGCAAAGCCAACAACAGTTCACCTTTGACCAGCACACAAGTCAGAAAACTTGCACTTCGACAGACCCAACACTAACAGCCCTGGAAGATGCAGCAATGGGTAGGCTGCTTCACAGGCATGTCTAGGAAGGGTTCAGGACCCAGGGAAGAGAAATCCACACTGGGGAAGCTCTACCGGCCAGCTCTCTGGCCTTCCCAGGGAATGGACTAGCACATCAATAGACAAAAAGGCTGTATGTTAAATTAATTAAAAAAAAGTTTCCACCATGGCTGTGTAGCAGTAGCATGAGAAGCTGCTTTGAGCCTTCAGAAAAGCGCTTCCCCCTACTCACAACCTCCTCTCAAATTCTGAGACTAAACAAATGAAGCAGGAAGAGTTTGCTAAGAGACTCTGCAGCTCCATGAGGACAGGAGCTAACTGCTTCGGAATTTCTCTGAAAGCTGGATAACTAGTGTGGGGCCGTGTCTGAAGACCATTAATACATCCTGCTGTGACTCACTGCCAGGTTTTCACAGGGGGAAAGCATAAATTCTGCCCCTTCGTCTGCCGCATTTTGGGTCAAACCCATATTACCTGGGGGGCCAGTCTATTCCAGTCTGAGTACTTGTGATCGCCAAGAATTGGGCAATCCAATCCAAAAGACAGGTGAACTCGAAGCTGGTGTTTTACTCCTTCCAAAAAAGAGAGAGAGAACTTATGAGTGGCTACAGAAATGGTGCCATGGCGGTATCTGCTTCCAATCATACTAAATCAAAGCACAGTAAACTGGCAAAGCCCCAACTACAATAAAGTATGAAGATTAATGCAACAAACTATAAGCTATTAGGAAATAAACATTATAAATACTGCCATGCCTCCAGTGTCCCCTCCCCCTCCCAGTTTCCTCTTTCCATCACATAACCATGATCATCCACCTGGCATCTATCACTACCAAGCTGGTTTGTTTTGTAAAATAATTTTATTATGTAACACTAAATAGTAGTTTTACATTTGTCTTTTATTGTGGGAAAATATACATAACATAAAATTTGTCATTTTAACTGTTTTTCAGTTCAGTGCGAGTAAGTACATTCATACTGTTGTGCGGCCAGCACAGCCATCCATCTCCAGAACTTCTGCATCACCCCAAGCTGAAACTCTGTCACCATTAAACACTAACTCCCCATTCCCTCCTCTCCCCAGCCCCTGGTAATCACTCTCTACTTTCTGTTCTACTTTCTGTCTCTGTGAAGCTGACTACTCTATGTATCTCATATAAATGGAACCATTAAATATGTCCTTTAGCGTTTGGCTTATTTCACTCAGCATAATGTCCTCAGGTTCATCCGTGTGGCAGCATGTGTCAGAATTTCCTCCCTTTTTAAGGCTGAATACTATTCCATTGTATGGATAGACCACATTTTGTTTATCCATTCACCTGTCAATGAACATTTGGGATGTTTTCACCTTTTGGCTATTGTGAGTAATGCTACAATGAACATTGGTGTACAAGTATCTTTCAAATCCCTGTTTTCAATTTTTGGGGGCATATACCCAGGAGTAGAATTGCTGGATCATATGGTAATTCTATGCTTAATTTTTTGAGGAACCACTTGGCAAATTTTTATTTTATTTATTTATTTTTTTTAGCTGAGCTATCCTGCCACCTGTTGGCAGCTCAGCGGCAGCTCAGCTCGGGCCGGGACTCGAACCGCTATTGCTCAGAGCTCGCACTCTTGAGCGAGCTCTTAACCAACTGAGCCACTCAGCCAACCCTGGCAAATTTTTAAATAAATGTAAGCAAACTGTTTATGTCCTTCTGTTACCTATTGTTTTTAACAATCATCTCTGTTGGAGCTCCTAGCCTCTGATTAGCATCACAAACACACTCTCTAACAAGTCAGCTGCTATCCAGTCTCCACAATACCAGCTGTTCTTAAGGGCAGAGCCCAGCACAAGGCAGAGGATGAAGCTCAGCAGCACTGGGCACCCCCCCACTGCAGAACGGGGGCACCCTCCCACTGCAGAA